AAAAAGGTAACAAGTTAGAAGCCAGTAACTACAGAGGTATTTCTAAGTTGTCAGCTATTCCTAAGCTTTTTGAAAAAATTATTACTCCTCATTTGACTCTGTAAATCACTTACTTCTCATTCAAAAACTTGTCCTTTTAGGTTTTCCAGTTGATCTGCTTAAATGGATTTCGAGTTATCTAAATGGCAGGTCACAAAGGGTCCTTTTTAAAAATTCAATTTCTGAAATTCTCCGTGTTACCTCCGGTGTCCCACAAGGGAGCCATCTGGGTACGTTACTTTTTACATTATTTATTAACGATCTTCCCTCAATTATAAGTCATTCTCGCAGATGATGTTAAGTTGTGCCTGCAGTATAAGGACATTTCCTGCCATTTAAAATTACAATCCAATCTAGATAATTTTCAAAACTGGTGCCGAGATAATTTACTAAATTTAAACGGTTCCAAGTGCAAGCTGATGACTTTTTATCGGGCCAATCCAATATGCGCGACTTACACGTTAAGAGGCAGCTCTTTGGATAGAATAACTCTTGTAAACGATCTTGGCGTTCTCTTGGACCCTAAACTAAAATTTTGTAATCACATTTCGTCCATGGTTAATAAAGCCAGAGGAGTGCTTGGATTTATTAAAAGGTGGTCAAAAGAATTCGATGATCCTTATTTGACTAAAACTTTATTTATTTCGCTAGTCCGTCCGATTCTGGAGTATGGGTCTCCCGTCTGGAGTCCACAATACGGAATACATATTGGTCGTATTGAATCTGTACAAAAAACTTCCTTCTTTTTGCTTTACGTCGCCTAAACTGGGATGCAAATCTTATCTTACCTTCTTATTCTAGTAGACTTCTTTTGATTAATTTACCATCCCTAGCCAACCGTAGAACGATGCTTGGTACTATCTTTATTTATAACCTTATACATGGTGATATTGACTGCCCCGACTTGTTAAGTCGGCTAAACTTTTCTGTGCCAAGTAGATTAACTAGAAATTATTTTCCCCTAATTTTAAATCATTGTAGATCTAACTTTGCCTTGCATGAGCCTTTCAGAGTATTATGTTCTGACTATAATAGACTTTTTCCTGTAATATCAAATCTTGACTCTCTGCCGCTCCTAAAACGATTGATACTTGCTTCATTGGCACAAGATTGATCTAACTATTACTTTTTTCCCCGGACCTTTACCTTTATTTTTCTATCTCGCGTCTATCTTATCGCGAATCGTGCCGTACGATACACGGCTGCGCCCCTCAGTCGGTTGGGCGGGTAAGTGGGCCGTGGGACTCCGTGCAAAAAAAAAAAAAAAAAAAAAATATTGGAAATAAACAGTCCAGAAGATATAGAAGATGCGATATCACTGTTCATGAAAAAACCTACGTCCCAGAATTCAGCCAACCAACACCGACGATCTGGCCTTTCGCAAAGTGCTGACGCGCTCTTACGCTTGAAGAGAAGAGTCAGAAAAGAATATGTAAGAACAGGTGACATGCGTATTCACCACATGTATAAAAGGTTGTCAAACAGACTTCACAAAGTTCTTGCCAAAATAAAACAAGGCAACTCACTAGCCGTTTTAAAAGAATTTCAACTTCAAAGTAAAAAAATACATAAACTAACATTTTAAGCAAAATATGCGATGCTCTCTGGTACGTGAGGAACAGGGACATTGAACAGGACCTACGGGTTCCCAAGGTAGGCGATGCCCTTCAAACGAATGCAGCCAGCTATGTTCGACGCCTAACAAGTCACTTAAAAGGTGCTACCCTACGGATCCCCCTTCCAGGATTATATAAAAACGAAAAGAAATATTTAAATTAAAACAAAACTTTTATGTAACTATAATAAGATATAATGTAACTCCAATATATAATTTGATTAAGCTGCCCCATAGGTAGCAGAAAACTAGTTTAAGACACATAATCCATTAAACAAATAAAACAAATTTTTTTTTAATTTGTTAGCTGAGTATCCTATAGCCAAGGCATTTGACAAAAGCTTTTCTCCTTGGTTTCGACTTTAATTTGGTGATATCCGTTTGCTAAGTCAAGAGTTAAAAAATATTTTGCGTTGCTTAAGCTAAATAATAGATCAAGTTTTTCATTTAATTATCTATTATTATTACTACTATTATCCATTTTCGTTCTCCGTCCTTTTGGATACTAATCATACTGGTGCACATCATGACGAACGGCTGTGTCGTAATATTTTTTGATCTACGAGTTTTTCCAGTTGCTTCTTTACTCCGTGTCTTTTATTAACTGAATTCCTATATGGTTTAATATATACCGGTATGTGGTCTGTAATTGGTATATAATGCTTAACGGCATTAGCGAAATAAAGGTTATCTCCTTAGGGGAATACGGATGGATATTTTTTTCAAACATTTAATAACTCTTTTCGTTTAGGAGATTTGTCCTGATTTTGTTAAATTATATTTTCTTATTGTGGTACCAATATGCTGTTTATTTCTACATGTTGCCCCAGCTTATAAATAAATTAAACTTCTAAGGTAAGTGTTTTGTTCGTGATGTTCATTTTTAGCTATGGTTTAATATTATCATTTTTTTTAACTTTATCAAACGTTTGTTTTATTGTAACATGAGAAGGCTTGAATATATATTTAACAAATTTAAAGCAATGTGGAACAGAACAAAATCCAATTCTGTCAAAAACCGACATTGAATCAAAATAGAGGATGTCCTATATTAAGTCTTTTGCAGTGCTCAGAATTAAATATTCATAAGTTTTAATTGGAACTCATTGAGGATATTATCGCTCTTTTGCTTCTATTGGTGGATTTAATGGTTGACTTAATGTTGGCCGTTCCTTGCAATGAGTTTATTAAAAAATTAGGCCCATGTTGTTCTTTAAAATTTCACTGGTACGAAAGCCTCTGGAAATTATGTCACCTGGATTTTGTGCTGTAACTAACAGACTTTATTTGCGACAAAACAATTTAAAATAGATCATCCACTGAAGTATTGTTTTTAAGTATGTGCAAAAAAGTTATTGCTAGTGTAGCGGGCAGCTGTGGCTGAAACTTTCTGAATGTTTTTTTAAAGTAAGTACACAACTCCAGATTGGGCGTGCCAAATAACAAGCTTGTATTTATTGTGTGTGATCTAACGAAATTCATGGATTCTGTGATGCATCTGAACGAGCATAGAGCTAGTGCTCGTTTAGATGCATCACAGAATCCATGAATTTTGGCTTATCGACGTGTGTACAAAATAATGCATTTTTATACCCGTTACTCGTAGAGTAAAAGGGTATATTGTATTCGTGCAAAAGTATGTAACAGGTAGAAAGAAGCGTTTCCGACCCTATAAAGTATATATATTCTTGTTCAGGATCACTAGCCGAGTCGATCTAGCCATGTCCGTCTGTCCTTCTGTCTGTCTGTCCGTATGAACGCTGAGATCTCGGAAACTATAAAAGCTAGAAGATTGGGTAGATTTTAGGAGTTCCTACGCAGCGCAAGTTTGTTTCAAAATGGTGCCACGTCCCCTCTGACGCCCACAAGCAGCAAGCTGTGGCCACAGTTTTGATGCTATTATGAAAATTTTAATTGAAATGTATTTGTTTCGTCAATAGTTATCGATTGGCCTAAGAAAAGTTTGCCACGCCCACTCTAACGCCCAAAAACCCATTGTGCAAACATTTAGACATTAATATACATAATACTATTTAAGAATGTATGTGTTTAGCCAATATAAGTATGTATGTTTAATATTTTTAGTCAATTTATTACAAGAAGAATCAATGAATCAAAATATCCAAAAATAGAGAAAAGTGCTAATCGTGACCTTCGTAATCTTGATTTTGCGGGGGCTGCAACGAGAACAATGCGGTGTTTTTGCAAAACTATTTATTTATAAATTAATAGTTAAATTTTGTTTATTTTTCGCTTTGAATTATATTTGATTTTGGTAGATACATCCCATAAGTATGTGTTTGCACGCCTATATATTTTAAATCTATAGTCCACAAAATGCAGACAAATTTAAACAATTGATTTAGTAATTGTGTTTTTGCAATTGTAACTTTTTTGGAAAAATTACAAACGTATAAAATCAATATCAATCTGGGACTTGCCTAATAAAAATGAATCAATCAATAAAATCAATCAATGAATCAAAATATCAAAAAATAGAGAAAAGTGCTCATCGTGACCTTCGTAAACTTGATTTTGCGGAGGCTGCAACGAGAACAATGCGGTGTATGAGTCCGCTTTTTCTGCTCTACACAATAAAAATCATTTGTACCTGAGTCTCCACAGCAATCATCCTCTGTTAGTGTTTGGGTATCACAAAGGCTTCAAAACTAGATTTCTAGAATTTGCAATTACAGTTCAGCACTGTCCTTTAAGTTTTTTTGTTATTCTTTCTATGGTCGCATGCTTTAGCCTCAGTTTCACTAGTTGATCTTATTTTGGACACTTGCAAGGTCTCTTGAAGTTCAGATGACTCGTTTATGATAGTTTTGTCTCATTTAAGGTTATCTTCTAAATACTGATTTTGTGTATGCACCATATCGCAATAAGTTTGTATATGTGATTGGCTGGCGAATGTGAAATCAAAACAAATAAAAAAGAAGAAAGACTTTGAAAAAGTTTATCACAGAGTTCGTTTGTATTTGCACTTTTTGGTTTTGAAAAAGGATTTTCTTATACGAGAAATAGTGTACTTGCGAATCACTATTTTTGGAACCATAAGCTTACGCCGTGTCTCGAATTAGAAACGATAAGCTGTCGTCGTGCTTACATTTTTCCCTCACCTTCCACATGCCTTGATCTTAGATAAGATAATGTTCCGATCAGAGATACCGATAATATTCCCATAAAAAATGTTTGTCAGATGGGCTAAATTTACATAATTATTAACACTACGAAAGGAGTTTTAATTTTTTGTGCTAAAACAATATCCAAATCAAAAATATTTTATAAGTCTTAGAATAGAGAAACATAATATAATATTTTTTATTTTCTTTGCGTATTTTAGCTTCCACAACTGGTTAATAGTTTTTCTGAAAATGGACTATTGCCTCTTCAAATGGCTTTATCAGCAAAAAATGTTAAAATTGCTCAGACCCTTGTGAAAAGCGGAATGGCGAACATAAATGCTCTTAATATAGAGGTAAGAATTCAGCAAATCTTTCAACTCACTAAATATTTTTTCAACAGGGGTCTACACTGCTAATTGCTGCTTTAAGAAATGGTGACGTTTTTTCGGCAAATTTCCTCTTGGAAGAAAACTGTCTTTTAGACCTTTCGCCTGAGTAAACATAATACAAAAAAATGAAAATAAATTTATTTTAAAATGTAATTTTTTAGCCCATCGTCGGATACTGCATTACATATTATTTGTAATTTCGTTGAATATAGTAATAATCCAGACAATTTTGCGGAAATATTAAAAGTTGGAAAGAATATTTTACTAAGGAATCCAAATGTAAATATTCAAAATGTAAAAGGAGAAACACCTTTGCATATAGCAATAGCCAGACAAAATTCAGAAATGGTATTTCATTTACTTAAAGTTCCAAATATTGATATTAATTTGCGCACTTCCGAAGAAAAGAGTGCCCTGGAACTTAGTTTACTATTGGGAGATCGAGAGTTTAAGATAGCCTCAATGCTTTTAAATATGGGTGCAAACCCAAATCCCAAAAAGTCAAAAACTGGAGATAGCCTACTACAGGTGTTTGCAATGGACGGACATCTAGGGGAGTCCGCAGCAATTTTTTTGGCAGATTTTGCAACTCTTCATCATATGAATTTAAGAGGGTTAACAGCCTTACACATTGCTGCTTCAAAAAACATGCCAAACCTAGTAAAAAAATTGATTGTTAAAGGTGCTCCGTGCAATTTACAATCCATCGAGAGCGATCTTAAATCGGCTTTGCATATGGCAGTTGAAGCTAATGCAGTTAATGCCTTAGAAGCTTTTGTTCAGATAAAAAACGAAATCCCCGATGTTATTGATTTTAATTGCCAAGATATTAATGGCAATTCACCGTTAAGTCTATGCTTAGCTCTTAATAGAACTCAACTGGTACCTATTCTCATCCGAGGCGGCTCAAATGTAAATGCAAAGAATAAGGACAATTTAACACTGTTGCATCAATCAATAAAGAATGGAGACACTGATACATCATTGTTTTTACTAGAGCAAGGTGCAGATTTTACTGCTGTAACAGGTAAATAAATTTATTCAATTTGTATTTTGTTCAAAAACTTTTTTACATTTAATAGATGATCAGGTTTCTGCATTGGAGTTATCGATCGAATACGATCTACCAAGAGTCGTGAATGCCCTTTGCACAAGAGGAATCGCACTAAGACCCGATTCAAAAGGAGTTTCACCACTATGGACAGCATTGGAACTTGCGCATGAAGATGTGGCAAGTGTGCTTGTGCGACACGGAGTTGACACTGACTGCTGGGGCAACGGACCAGAGGGATGCCAACAAACTCTTTTACATCGTGCAATTGATGAAAACAAAGAATCAATTGCTATATTTCTTATTCGAAGTCAATGTGACTTAGACTCCGCACGACAGCCAGGTCCGAATGGTGAGGGTGGAGATGAAGCAAAGGAAAAATCTTCCCCGCTGCATTTATGTTGTCAGTGGGGCCTAACCAAAGTTCTTCAGACACTAATTGATCACGGTGCTAATGTTAACGTAATGGACGCTGAAAACAAATCTCCACTTCATGTAGCTATTGAAAACCAACATGAAGAGATAATAGCCGTTCTTCTTTGTCACCCTATTATAGAACTTAAACTCCGTGATAGGTCCGGAAATACACCTTTTGCAGCCGCCTTAGGTATTCGTAATCACAAGGCCGCCCAACGCATTTTGGATCGATTTCCAACAGCAGCTGAGCAAATGGACCAGCGCGGCAGAAACTTTTTGCATTTAGCAATTATGAAAGACGATTTAGAAAGTGTTTTATTTTTGATAGCTATTCAGGTAGATGTTAATTCTCGAGTACATGATGTCAATCAATCTACGCCCTTACATTTGGCGGCTGCCTCATTTAATGAAATGATAACCAGAAATCTAATTTTAGCTGGTGCCCGTATGAATGAACGGGATGCTGTCCAAAAATTGCCCCTTCATATTGCCATTGAGCGCGGAAATCTTTCCGCTGTATGTGCATTAATTCAAAACAATGCCGACTACGACGCAACAGATGCTGATGGCAATAATGCTTTACACATAGCTGTAAGATGCGGTCAGTTCTTCATTGTACGTGAACTTTTAACAGAATCCAGAGTAAACGCAGAGGCAACAAATTTAAAAGGTCGGAATCCTTTGCATGAATTGTGTCGTGTTGTTGAGGATAATACAGCCGCTCTGATTTGCGAACTATTTCTAGAATGTATGCCAAAATATCCAATTAATATTCCTGACTTGGATGGAAATACTCCGCTGCTGCTTTCCTTTATGAGAGGCCAATCGCCACTTTGTAAAATACTTGTAAAAGCAGGGGCGTGCCTTGGTACCGAAAATAGAGAAGGAGTAAATATTTTTAATTTTAAACTAGCTACAGATCAACTACTTCACAAATTGTTGGACCAATTGCCACAAGAATCATCGTGGTCAGAGTGTGACCTATGCCAGGAATGTACCACAAGGTTTACAATTACTATGCGAAAACATCATTGGTAAGAGCGGATACATATTGATTTAAAAAATATAAATAATATTTCAATGTTTTTTTTTTAAGCCGGCATTGTGGACGGGTGCTATGCTCCAAATGTTCCAGCAACGATATACCTATTTTGAAATTTGGCATAAACAAACCAGTAAGAGTCTGCTGCGTTTGCTTTAATGTGCTGCAATGTGGTAATGGATCATTGTCATAGTTTAAACCTAACCAATTTATCAATTAATTATATAACATGGTTATGAGGTGCCGTTTATTAAGAGGACAAAATAAAAATACTAAAAGATATAAAAATGTTATTAACAAAAAAATTAATTTGTAATTATTTTAATACAATCATTAAGCGCCCAATTATTTGGAAGGCTTTTTACTAAAGATAAAGCTTTATGCCAAAGAACACTTTCTAAAATTCTAGTCAAAGCGTGCCTTGTTAGTAAAAATTGAGAATGAAAAAATAATTTTAAATTCAAGCTAGCCACAGATGAATTACTTCACAAATTTTGTAATCCATTACCACAAGAATCATCGTAGCCAGAGTGTGACTTATGCCAAAAGTATATAACTGAGTTTACAATTACTATGCCAAAACGTTAATGGTAAGAATGGGATCAAGTGAATTACAAATATTTTAACGATCTTTTTCCCGATGTTTTAATTTTGAGGACGAGTTTTATGCTTTAAATGTTCAAGTGACGATATACCCATTTTGTGGTTCGGCATCCTTAAGCCAGTGCTAACTGAGTTTGCTGCAATTTGGAAGTGGATCATTGTCATAGTTTAGGCCTAACCAATATAAAAATGGTTATTATTATTAGGGCAAAAACGTCTGCTCAGAGACAAATGTATAAAAAAAATTCCAAAAAAGCACCAAAAACAGGTTAAACACAAAATATATATTATATAAATATTTTTTATATAGTATTCGAACCTTAAATAAATATTAGGTTGGTTGCTAATGACATACCGGTTTTTGGATTCAAATTTCGGGCTTTGCTTGTGAGGTGGAAATGGAATCGTATCTGGCAATGTTTTATATGTCTTGGTAAGAACGGAATCCATGGAATTACAAATATTTTTACAATCTGTTTTAATTGTATTAATCCGGTAATCGCTTTTTAAATGACGTATAGTTACATCAGTTTCCGCACTTACAAATTACAAACGATCGAAATGGACTTCACAAACAGTGAAACTCGAGCCATTTTGAAATTTTATTTAGCGCAAGAAAAAACTGCTGCGGAATCTTGCAGGCAGATCATTTCTGCCTTATTAGACAACAAACTAACGATTCAAACTGCTGAACAGTGGTTCACCCAAGCCTGCCCTAATTATCCGTATCAACTGAATAATATCATAGAAATATGTGCACCCACCGTAAAGTGCACGTCCTGGTAGGAGGGAATACTTTAGGGATTCAATTCGCCCAGGATCGCTCTGATATTTTTATATGGAGTAGCATAGGTCCATAGATCCAAATGAGAGAGGATTAGAAAAATGGCGGGAGGAATCGGGACAGCGCAAATAAGCACAGTAGATACCACATTGTACAGCCAACTAGACGTGGATCGGGAAGTCAAGCTTGTTGTGCCGAGCCTTACAAAAATTAAGCAGTGAGTCACATTTGGTTGTTGAGTGGTAAAGTTTTTATTTCGACATGTTATATTCGACGGCAACCTTCGTCGGTGTGTCGGTTCCTTAAAAGCAGTTGTGAGGAGGCACCAAGGTTGACAAGGCTGCACCCTGAAACCCAGCTCTGGTCATTGGCGCTCCCCTCTTATATTCCGGGGGACAATAGAGGCCGTATGACGTGGTCTGAAAGGCCCAGCTATCTTCGCCAGCTCCATTTTGGCACCATGCGCCGCCATAAAGAGAAGCAGCAAATGCTGCCTCAACAAAGGAAGAAAAAAGCCATAAATATGTGGAATTATGTTCGGGTCCATTAGAGCGAAGTGAGTTTCGGTCTGAACACAGGCGTCGATCTACGAAGACTGACCATTCGTTCTTCTAACTGTTCCTTCGAACCACACAAGGCGACAGCGGCACAAATCTGACGCCTCGCTATAACGGTTCCTCTCAAAAGGGAGAAGACAAAATCAAGCTGGCAGCTGTGTGTCGCGCACAGTTTTGTAAAACACAAGCATTTTAAGAAACTAGCATTCGCCGACTCGGTTTTACTGAGTCTAACGCGACCTCGTATATAAAAGACTATATTTTCACTTTTACTTTTGCTCCCTTTTTATTTCAATTTTTAAATATGAAATCAAATTTTCATTTCTTAATTTATGAAAACTCATTATTTTAAAAAATAGTATCAAACCTCCTTAAAACAATATCGTCCACTCATGCCACGATACTGTCTCTCCATCATTTTATTACTTTCTCTTTCCAAACAATCTTTCGTATTTCTCAAACATTTTACTTCTGTACTTGCATTACACGATCCAAGTACTCTGCCATTTCCTTTTACTACATACTACATATTTTTGCCACCCTTACTGGCTCACTTCACTTTCTTCAGGAACTTCAACATTCTCAATATTTTCATTTTCAACATTATTATAATTATCGCACACATTCAAATTATTAAATCTTCGTGCGGATACTTGTAAGTTCGTTTACTGTTTAAGGTCTTTAAAATGATGACAATTTTTTTCAACTTGTGCTCTTACGTTCGACAGATTAACATAATTTTCTATTTTACAAGGTTGAAGTAATCCAAATGGCCGTGCTACCTTACCCAATAATATTTCCAGAGGAGTTGTCTTCGTGACATGAATAGTTGTACAAATGATTGCTAGCGGCACCTTTCTGTTCCAGTTTCAGCCGCCGTTAACATGTTCTTCAACGTGCGCATTGTTCGTTCCACTTGGCCACTAGCTCGACTAGCACCGGAGGCAATCAAGTGCAAGTTTATTTTGTGATCTGAACTGGTCAGCTATTATTCGGTATGGTACTCCAAACAAGGAAAACAGCATACTTGACAGCATTTATGGAATTCTCACAGTCTAAAGTAATGGTGTGACTAAGATATCAATTCTTGTTAAACGCGTCAACTTGTAGAGTAACATACTCCTTCTGGTCACTCTTGCCGCTTAATTTCAATGTTATGTCAATGTGGACAGTGTCCCAAGGAATATTTACTTTTGGGATTGGACGCAGTTCAGCCTGAATTTTTGCGGAGGTTGATTTAGACATTTTGCAAGTGCTGCAGTTGTCAACAAATTTTTTGATATATTTTGACATATTGTCAAACCAGTAAATATTGTACATTTTATGCAGTGTCTTTTCGAAATTTAAATGCATTATCGACACATATCGAATGTAAATGACTGCAAAAAGACCACCACGCTGTGCTCTAGGGGTCAAATCTTGTTTATTTCTTGACACCTTCAATGAGTTACAGTCGGAGTAAGCAGTAAAGTTCCTGCCTAACAATTAATGTCGAAAATGTTTAATTGAGTTAAAACCCGCTAAAGCTTATACGAGTAAAATCTTAACTCTGCAGGTGATGTAGACTAACTATAATATTCTATTGCCTGGGGTTTGTAATTAATTCTGTGTAATAAAATTGCACCGTAGCCACTGCAACCTGCATCTGTATTCAATTCAATTGGCTCATTATATTTGGCTCAAATATCAGGTTGCGAAATATCTCCCTTCCCCTTTTTTGGTTTTTGAATTTGGCGGCTTTGTGCAAAGCGCTACATATCGGTATCGGGCAATGCTATATATAGATTGAAAGGTCTTGACATTACCTACAAAACGACGCTATTCATAACAGTTTGGTTATTGCGTCGAAAAGTTATACATGTGTAAACATGGAGTTCGCTAACGCCGAAATTCGCGCTGTTTTGAAGTTTTCCTTCGGTAAATCCGCTAGAGAAACTTTCCGTAAGATTAATCGAACCGCGGAGGAACGGTTTCGACGATTCAGAGCCGGTGAAAACGACACCATGGATAAGCCAGACGGCGGAAGACCTGTGACGACGAATACCGATCAAATCATGGAAAACATCAAGCTAGACCGGCATGTGACATATCGTGACATCGCCGAGGAGATAGAAGTTAGTCACCAAACCGTTTTAAACCATCTGCAGAAGGCTGGATACAAAAAAAAGCTGGATGTTTGGGTGCCGCATGATTTGACGCAAAAAAACCTGCGATATGCTGCTGAAACGGAATGAACTCCATCCATTTTTGACGCGGAATGTGAAAGCCAAAACGGTCGTGGTTAAAGGCCGGTGAATCGTCCAATAGAGTGGCCAAGCCGGGATTGACGGCCAGGAGAGTTTTGCTCTGTGTTTGGTGGGATTGGAAGGTAATCATACACTATGAGCTGCACCCATATGGCCAGACGCTTAATTCTACCATCTACTGCTAAGAACTGGACCGCTTGAAGCTGGTGATCGACTAGAAGCGACCAGAATTGGCCACAGGAAGGGTGTGGTGTTTCACTAGGAGAAAGCCAGACCACACACTTCTTTGATGACTCGTCAGAAGCTACGGGAGCTCGGATGGGAGATTTTATCGCATCCACCATATAGTCCGGACATAGCGCCAAGTGACTACCTGTCCATGGCGAATGTCCTTATTGGTGCTCAAAAGAGGGTTGTGAAAAGTGGCTGTCAGAGTTTTTCGCAAATAAGGTAAGAAGTTTCTTCGAGGGGGCTATTATGAAGAATAAAGAGCAAAAGAGCGGAAAGGAGTTATTTGACAACCTAATACGAGGGCAGTCCGATGAGTACTTAGCCTCTACATTCTCGTAGACGGCTACTGTCGAAATTTCAGTCGAATCGGACTCGTACTTTTGTTTTGACTGCGTGTGGAATCGGACGTGTCCGCGGATTTTAGAAAAATTGAGAAAGAGCAATATCGGTCTGTGATTCGATTCTTGTTTTTGGAAGGGAAATCGCGCAGCGAAATCAAAGAGCGCTTGGATGCTGTATACGGTGACACTTTTGTCCTTCGATGGCGACCGTCAAAAATTGGTTTAAAGAGTTTCAACGTGGTCGCACGTCGGTTTTTGATGAGCCACGCCCTGATGCCCCGAAAACGGCTACCGCGGAGGATAACGTGTCAAAAATCCACGATCTCGTATTGGCAGACCGCCGATTGAAGATACGCGAGATAGCTGAGACAGTAGGCATGTCAAAAGACCGCGTGGGTCTTATCCTGCTTGAAATTTTGGGAATGAGACCACTTCAGAGCAGTGTTTGACGCTGTTTAAGCGCAATCCCAAGGAGTTTCTGCGTCGTTTCGTGACCGTCGACGAAACATGGATCCACTGGTACACACCAAAGACCAAGGAACAGTCGAAACAGTGGACTTCACCCGGCGAACCTGCTTCGAAGAAGGCGAAGACTGTCCCATCGGCCGCAAAGGTGATAGCCACCGTTTTTTGGGATTCACAAGGTGTGATCTACATCGACTACCTGGAGAAGGGCAAAACGGTCACAGGGATGTATTATTTTGCAGACCTCGAAAAAACGTATTTTTCAGACGGGTTAAAGAATTTCGATCATCGCTGGGTCAAGTGTATCGAGCTAAAAGGAGATTATGCTGAGAAATAAATCGTCACTTTTCCAAAATTTTCCTTTTTCCTTTGGAGGCTAAGTACTTATCGGCCCCCCCTGGTATAATAAGGACTGGTTCATCGGTAAACATAGAAAAAACCTGTTTCCGTATATGTTCATGTTCTGCTTTCCAAATAAGTTTATTTTTGTCTGAAGCTAAGAAATATAACGGGTTTATTAACTGTAAAAACTCCTTAACAAACTTCCCTGCAAATCCAATAAATTATTTAAGTGCTGTTACAGACTGTGTAGGCAGAAGAGCAGTCAACGCTACAATTTTCTGAGGGTTTAGACGAATTTCACCAGCACAAACACTGTAGCCTAAATGTTGAACCAATATTTCCAGCCTCTGTCAGCACATTTAAAACAATTCTAATCTTTCAAACGGCTTGCATTGTGTTGTGGCAGTTATCATGATATCATCCATGTTGACGATAACATAAGAATTTGCTAAATCCCCTAGCGCATGCATTACTAAGATTTGGAAAACAAAAGGTTTTTAAGACCGAATGGCATAGACAAAAACTCATACTAGCCATCTGGCGTCAAACACGCTATGTACTTAATAGAATCCGCAACCAAAGTAGTTTGGTAGTATCCATATCTAAACATCTAAAAGAATTTACTCTATTTTAATCTATTTGATTCTGTATAAATGGCAGCGGGTATTTATTTAGCTCTCTATAGTCAACGCAGAGCCTATCCAAACCATTTTTTTATTCAACAATATAGGGCTTGCATAAGGTGATCAGCTTGGTCTTATTATATTACACCTCAACAGCTCCTCAATTTTCTCACGAACTAAATTCCGCTCGTATGGACTTAATCGGTAAGATCTTTGAACTGTTTTTCTTGGATCAATCAATCTAATTTTCATTTCGTCAACTCTCACCTGAGTACATAGAATGCCTTTTATAAAACAATAAAACATTTGTTTGATGAAATGACAATATTAAAACCCTGCTTCAGTATTTCACGCCCAACGACAATATCGTTTTGCATGTGATCATCGCCTATTAAAGGGTGGCCTACGAAAAATTTGCGTTTTAAAATCGCTATAAAAAAACAACGAGTATATATTTTTCAAAATTTTTTATTGGATAGCCTCAACATTGCGGTTTATGTATGAAACACCACTTCGTTCATATGGCTGCCTCGGCTGGCTTCACAGTAGACCATTCGGTCGACCCAATTTTTAAATACATTGTCGATGGTAAGGCCCTCAATGGCCCTGATGGCGACTTTAATCTCGTGCTTTAGGTAGTCAATCGTTTCTGGGTGGTTGGCGTAACACTTATCCTTGACGGCACCCCACAAAAAATATTCCAACGGGATGAAATCGCAGCTGCGAGGCGGCCAGTTGACATCGCCGTTTCGTCTGATTATGCGATTTTCGAACGTACCGGGCAAAAGATCGATTGTGACGTTGGCTGTGTGGCACGTAGCGCAGTCCTGCTGGAACTATATGTCGTCTATGTCTTCCTTTTCCATTCGGGGAAAGAAAAAGTCTTCCAACATGCCGCGATAGCGGACACCGGCGGCTCCTTCCTCGTTTTCAAAGAAAAACGGCCCAATGATGTCACCCGAACACATACCGCACCAAACAGTCACTCGTTGTGGATGCATAGGCTTCTCCAAGACGACGTGTGGATTTTCTCAAGCGCTCCTGAGCCCATTCCGCGAACCGAAAATGCATTGGATGGTCATGCGGCTTAAATTGCTGAACCAACTGAATCTTATATGGCCTTTGACGGAGGTCTTTGCTTAAAATCCGTTGCAGGGAAGTGCGCGAAATGTCCAACTCATGAGCACGGTACCGAGTTGACGTCGACGGATTGTCATTCACACTTTCGGCAACCGCAGCGATATTTTCGACCGACCGAACTGGACGAGCACGTAAACGTGTTGTTTTATCCATCAACGATTCAGTCTCACGCACACGCTTCACAAAACTATCCACAAACTGCCTGGAAGGCGCTTTATTTTTTCCGAATTTTGACCGCAATTTTCTTGCAGTTTCGGTTGAAGACTCTCCACTTTGGAAGAAAGTTTTCAATATTTCCCAATTTTCTTCGAGCTTAAACTTAACCATTTCGTAAACCGCAAACCTTCTACTAAATATCTGACACATTGACAATGATATTCGAAATGTCAAAGTCAAAATTATCGATAGTTCAAAAACCAAACGCTAGATGGGCCACCCTGTATATAAAACAAAAACGCAATAAATATGTAATCAATATTAATGTTTCTTAAAACTTGTACTGTACTACATATTCTATTACTGCCGATGCCTTTTTAACATAACAATATTATTTATTCTTTTTCCAGAAAACTAAGCTTTCATCAGTGAGCATTTCGCTCCTGAACTGCATCGAGCAGTGCACCACTCGCTTTCCCGGTTGAATGTTCTTATCGGCTTCCTTTTTTGTACATTTGGTAGATATGTGTCCCCAGTCTCCGCACTTGTAGCAGGTTACATTTGATTTTTCATATCGGTGTTCATGTGTCGCCATGTCGCTCTTTCTCATTCGATGTTGTTGTTTCTTGAGTCTGCACACAAACATTGTTGTTTTCCACAAAAATGACACTATATCGAAGATTACTGCTCTTTATGGCCATTGGTCTTCCAACTTTAAACTGGGGAATCACTTGATGGGGCACGGCCTGTGATTCATCACTAAAAAGGGTGCAAACGTGCCGTTTGCCACTTTTCCGTTTATTAAATGTGAACACTTTTAATTCGGACTGTAAATCACCTCTGGTTCGAACATTTGATGTGAAACTCAGACGCTGCCCACGGTTATCAATTTTTTCTTTTTCCATTTCGCGTCATTTTGTCGTTAGTTCTAAAATCATACGGCTTGCGTTCAATGTATTTTCTTTTAATATAATTTCCAATATAGTTTCCCACCACGATGAAGCGATGGCACCTGCCCTGTCTGGGTTGAATTTGGGTAGTTGCACCGATTTGCTCTGCCCTGCATCAGGTTCCGTTGTTTTTATGGCTCGCACAAGTTCGATCAAATTTTTATACCCTTGCAGAGGGTATTATAATTTTGGTCATCAGTGTGCAACGCAGTGAAGGAGACATCTCCCACCCTATAAAGTATATATATTCTTGATCAGGATCGCATCCTAAGTTGATATAAGCATGTCCGTATGTCTGTCTGTTTCTACGCGAACAAGTCTCTCAGTTTTAAAGATATGGAATTGAAACTTTGCACACACCCTTCGTTCCTTTGCACACACCCTTCGTTCCTTTCCACGCAGTATATAAGTTGGAACGGCTGGGATCGGCCGACTATATCCTATAGCCGCCATATAACTGATTGATCGGAAATGCCACAACTTTGGTGTTTTTAAAGTTAGGAAGTTTGAATTTTTTATGGGTTTTATTTTTGGCCAACCGATCCGATTTTGGAGAATATAATTTACAGTCGAATTATGTTCGGGTTCCATTAAAGCGAAGTGAGTTTCGGTCTAAACACAAAGACTGACCATTCGTTCTTCCAACTGCCTATGCTGTTCCTTCGAACCACAGAAGGTGACGGAGACACAACGCTGACGCTTCGATATAACGATTCCTCTCAAAAGGAACAAGATAAAAT